AGCCAGCTCTCCAGCATGCAAGGGCTTCAGGGAGATGGCTCTTGTAGATCCTCCAACTCCTTCAGCCGCTCCAATCGTTGACTGGCATGGCAACTTGACAGGCCATCTGCGAGCATTACCAGGCCCAACTGGAGGAAATGTCCTCCTTTTCGTGCCCAGTGATGGTGGTTTGTTCTCAGGGCACTTTCCTTTTATTGCTTTCTCCCTATGTGCCGTCGGGGGTACAGCGGTTAGTACTCTAACAGGTTCCACTAATCGCGCCCGGTTTTTGATTGAACTCTTGGCTGCGCCAGGTCCAACCGGCCCCCCCGCGTCGCTCGGGCCCTGCGAGGCTGCGCCGGCAGGGCTAGCCGTTGATGCCGCCCAGCGGGGCTGACCCGCAATTGGTCATCTTGCCTAGTCCCTAGTCACGGGCTGCGCCCCCGAGGCTCGCCATACTGCCCGTTTGGCAGACTGAGCGGGAAGCCGAAAACTGGGTCGAGATGCTTCCAAAGTATCTATCGCTCGTAACATAGACTGGTGAATGAAGATATTTTCTCCGGTACAGCGCACGTCTCTTCCCACGGGGGGCATGCCAGGAATGCAAGGCAAGCTCCTCTTAAGACTGAAATGGAAATCGCTCCAATGCAAATATGTCCCATACCCTTTTCCTTTCGACATGGAATATCTCCACTCTCGTGAGAACAAGGAATGCCGCGTTCCCTGTCTTGCACCAGTCGCGGCGGCAGGGAATTGCGCAAGTGGGTTAGCGAAAGGGAGCGCTCCAAATATCGAAGTCGGAGTGCCGTTCTTAGTGGGGCACCACTTGGTCCAATGCGATACATGTTCCCCACATGTAGCTCTTGTCTTCGCAAACCCGTCTTCTCGCAGTTCGTTTTCGCAGACCCGCCCCTGGGCGGCTGAGCCGCCAGAGGGTTGACAGAAGAACCAGGCCGCAAGCTGCGCTGCTTTCATCATGTGATCAGCCATTATTTCACCCCCTTGAACTGCGGCCACTGCGCCATCTCTGTCCACTGTGCAAGACTCATGTTTATCAAGAATGGCATGCATCATGCGGGGTGTGGCGCAATTTCCGATGCAAACAAGCGCCGCTCATAATCGTTATTTTAGGCTGAGTCGCCGCAGCCTTGCATCGTTCAACGCGCGGATTCATGCGCGCCCGCAGCAAAGTGGCAATGTCATTCCACATGGCGTTCATTTTGAATGCACCACTTTCCGGTTGCCATCGTCGATGATCCCCGCCAATGTAAAATATCTGCATCGCCCCCGTCGTGGAAGGTTTCACCGCCTCATCGATCATTCTCTCGGCTGTTTCAAAGAGGGGACCGAGCAATGCCATTAGCATTTGAGGCTCAGCATTCCCCTTCTTCGTTCCGCTCAGCCCCATGACGTTGCAATTGACTCCGTCAGAAATATCGCTCATGGACCAAAAGATGCATTGTATTGGCGCGCGTCGGCCTGGGGTGACATTCCCCATTTCCACAAATCTGGCTTCATCACGTGATGCAGGAGCGTTGGCCCGCTCGCGCCCCCTCTATATATATATATAAATATATATACATAGATATATGTATATATACATTTATTTATTTATATATATATATGTATAAGTACATATACATATGTATATATATATATACACACACGCGCCCGTTCCCTGAAGACTCTCCCGCATGAAATATTGCGGGCTCGCGGAGCCACCAAGTCCCTCGTCTTGTGCATCACTGAGCTTGCACGTCGAATCAGAGACAATATGGATGGCAGCGCTCCAGAATTTGTGTCATTTGTGAGAGGTGTGGGCCAAGGGCCGGAAGAAATCCCGCGGGCGTCTACCGGTCCGCACCATGGCGGCCAGATCCTCACCACTGCAGGGAATCCACCCGTGACCATGCACCTCTGCCAATTGCGCAATGGCCTGACACATCTTCTGTTTATTAAGCCATCCCGATGACATGTGAAGGGAGGGATCGACTATACGTCAGCGTACAGCGCGACTATCTACTCAATACAACGAGCCCATTCATCTGGCACTTCATCGTCGTTCAGGGGCCCGGCTGCGCCGGCCCCTGTTTGCCCCCTGCGTTGTAGCACATTCCAGATTCTACGCGCCAAATAAGGCGGATCGGGCTCACCACCTATTCCTTCCGAAAGAAGAGCTTCAGGTGGGCCCGAATCAAGAGGTTGGTCACCACCTCCCCCCCCATTCGGCGCACCAGGGTTATGTCCGGTGCTCCCACCGCCGGATCCCGATCCAGACGACATTCCCCAACCCCAGGCTGTGCCGGCGATGGGATAGTTAGGGGTGGCATTTCCGCTCGGAGCGCCATTTGCGGCACCAGAGCCTGAGGAACCGCCTCCCCACGGTGCGTCAACGGGCACATCGGAAATTGAAATGCCCGAAGGGATCGCTTCCTCCTCAGCGCGCATGGGCCTCTCAGTTTCGGCCACCTTGGCTGGCCTCGGTTCTTCATCGTCGCCCATTCGCTTCAGTGGAGGGTTAATCTCTTGAGTCAAAACACTGTCTTCCCTCGAGAGTGGCTCTCCTCGCTCGGGCGGCTGCGCCGCCGAGCGGAGTTTGACCCTCTTGGATTGGGGCCCCTCCTGCAACTTGCCCCATGCATGGTGTCAAATCAAAGCTTCCCCATTCAGCACTTGCGCGACTACATTTATCTTCGCGTCGGGTTCCCTCCTGACCACTGGAAGTGCAAAATGCCCCTCCCCCCCACCCCCCACCCCCCACCCCCTCACCGATCAACAGCTGGGCTGCGTGAAGGTCTATTTTGGGATGGCCCCCAAACGCTCATGAAAACAACTTGGTCCGTGCGACGGTCAATGGTCTGAATGGGGACAAGATATTCTGCCCCCGTCATATAGGTGCGCCTAGCGGCCCCAAGAACCGGTCAATTTTTTTCCCCGTGATCACAAAAACGGACAGGTTTGCTCTTCGGGCCCCCTGGAGTCCCGGTGTAGAATCGTTCGGGTTAACGTGGGACTGGAAGTACTGCATTTCCTTGATCTGCGCAAGATCTGGAGGCAGAACATCAAAAGTGCTTCTGCAATTGCGTTGAGAGCCCCGTCTACATGCTACCCAGAAAACAATCCATGGGCCAACAGACGCTTTACTGCACAATCGCTGAATTATTGACTCATTGGATGCCCCTCAATTCCTCGCTGGGTACAATCGCAACATCGTCCGACCGAGAATGCTTGATGCCATTCCGAGTCATCACAACCTGCTGCATCCACCGTCCCCGAGGCATTTGCGGCACCTTTTCGCCGCGCAGAAACTCTTTGCCATCCTCCTCTGGTTCTAAGTTGCATGCGTGCTTTAGCTCAGCGCTGGTCCACTCTGTGGCAATCACCTGTCTCGGGGGGACTCGTCTCGTTCAGCTCAATATCTGAACGATCCGTGACAATCACCTCAGTAGCGCCCAGAATATTCGGGCATTGCTCCGTTATGTACATAACTGGTACTTTAAGCTTCCCTAGCGGCTTTGCCGTTCGAGGCTGAGCATCTCCAATTTCTCGGCAACCCTTTCTGCAATCCTGGTCGGCTTGTTTGGAAGGAACCCGTGTTTTAGGCAACCGTCGTCGCGAGTAGACATATCATCGCCATCGCGCGTGTCGGAACTATCCCGACAAGCCTTACAACAATGATCTGGGCAATCTACATTCTCGTAGTCTCCCTCGGCTGTGCCGCCATCCGTTCCTTCGTCCGCGGCCCCTTGTCGCCCGCGGGGTTCACCTTGGACTGCGCCCAGGTGGTCCCCGCGAGGTATCTGCGCCATATTGTCTTGCACAAAGAGAACCGCCATCCCTTTCTAGTCACATCGAGCGGTTGCGCCGCCGAGAGACCAAGGATCTGTCGTCGTGGACGGGGGGGCGGCCGAGAGGCTACAGGCTGGCGCCCGCGGCCCGCGAAGGGGAAGCGGCCGCGGCTGCGCGGCGGCTCCGCTGAGGGGGGGCGCGGCCGATGGCGACCCCGCCCCTGCCCACGAGACGCGGCGGCAGCGGCGCATGCATCACGATGAGGAGGGGGGGGGGGGGGGGGGGGGGGGGGGGATCAAGGGAGGCGTGCGAGGCAGCGCGCGCAAGAACAGCGTGAATATGTTTTGCAACTTCGTCTGTGCAATCGCCCGCAAGCTTGCAATCCTTGCCGCGCGCCGCCACGCGTGCATGAATGCCGTCACGCTTCCGCCCCAAACCACTGGTGACAATGTTGGATGTGGAAGCAATGGCCCACGGCTTCTTCATGAAATTCCCTTTACTATCTTTCAATATACACGCGCATCCGTGCAATACTGTCTTATGTAACCCTATCTTTCTCACAAATGCTTTCACTTGAGGGCCCCTCCAACACTGGCACTGGCTGGGCCACTCAATGCAAACTATACCCCCCGCATCGACGACAGCGCGGGCGATCTCTCTGAAATTCCAAAAGCGATATCGAAAACCGGTTCGGATCCTCCGAGCCTTCGAAGGGACCTATGATCACCTTTGCGGAAGTAGCGAGCATCGTCAACATATTGCCAGGGAGAACCTCCAGTGCACGGGATCGAACCCCAGAGCGAAATATGTTGTCCCTTGAACTCTCCGATATCCGTGAGTGCTTTGTTTTTGCCTTCTTTGGTCTTCATATCCTTGCTTTCAGGTCAGGCCAGGTCAAGCCGTAGGCCGGGGCAGCCCATGGGCGCGTGCACGGGGCATGGGCCGGGGCCCCGTCTTTGACGGCATCCGCCCTGCAAGCTGCGGAACGAGGCTGCGGATGCGCATGCATAATTCTGCTGCGCTTTAAAGGAGGGAGAAAGGACGCGCGGGGGGAAGGGAGGGGCGCGCGACGAGCGGGGGCGAGAGGCGAGGCCAGGCCTGCCAGGAGGGAGGGGGGGGATAGGGACGAGCGACAGGGGGGCGACGGAGGAAACGCGGGCGAGACTTCCACAACACTGCGGCTGGCAACATTCGGGGGGGCTGGAGAAGGGCGGATGGGGCTGATTCAAGACCCCTTGACGACCTTGCGCCAGTGCTGCGCGTCGATGGCTGCGTCTGCCAACAGCTGGAAGCCGCCCGCGACGCGGAGCCCGTCGGGCAGAACGGTCCGAATCCACTCTGTCCGGGGCCTTCCGCGCGCTCGGATGTAGCGGTCCGCTGCTGGACGGAAAGATCTGCCCGGGCAGAACGATGCGTCTCCCACTGCAGACCCCTACGTATTACCCTACACGAGTTATCAACGAAGTTCATTGGATTACCTATTTTGCTATCTGGCCCACAACACTACTCAAGTACTATTGATATTTCTCCGTTCCACTCGTTTCTGTCCATCGCTGGCTCTTTTTCAGGTTGATCTATTCAAGGTATCAATTCATTATCACCCGGTTTGGCCGCAGCCGCCTCGGCAATTTCGTCACAGTCCTCTTCCTGTTCCTGGATCTCAGGAAATAGTATAGGTACATCTGAGGCGTCTGACTCACTGTCAGTTATTTCAAACATAGCCATCAATCCTTCGTCTTCTTTCAATATTCGCTGATGGTAGCTTTTCCTGGAACCGCCATTGTCACTCTCGGAGGGTCTCGGGCTGTTAGCACTTTTGGCTTTGCCGGGTGCATCGCTAGCTCTTCTCTAGTGGCTACCGCCGAGTTTGGTGCCGGCAAAGGATGCGCATGGACATGTGCCCCACCAGTTTCGGCTTCGCCGTCTATTGGGGTGGTTGTTATTTTGGCCGCGTCTTTTATCGGCGCGGCCGTTACTGGCTTTCCTTCGGTGACTCTCTTACGTTTATGCATCTGTTTGCTCTGCACCGCGCCCCCCCGACGCACCAAGGCCTTCAGACCTATCCGTGGTTTGAGACCCCCCTGGGTTTCAGGGGGGGTCCGCCTGTGAGCATCGATGCCAGATAGTCTTGATTTCGGCTGGCTTTCCAAAATTTAGGGGTAACAATGTCAACCAGCTAAATTACCTTGACCCATGCAAAAAGATCGGCGGCTCCGTTCTGAGCACGTTCGCACTGTAAACTAACTACCCCACGGGTAATCTGTTCAGAAATGGCAGCATCATCTATACGGTGGGTTCTCGGAAGGTGCATCAATTTCATCGAACCTCCCGCTTTTATCACCTTGCATACTGCTTGGTTATCTTCCATAAGCGCGCATTTGAGTTCTCGCTGCAGCAGATTTTCCCGCAGCGGCAGGGCCGGCAGCAACTCAGTTCGCAAAGCCAGATCTGCGGCGACAGTTTCTGCCTCAAGTGTGCTATGGGACACGCAAGTTTGCCGACGAGAAGCCATGCTCTGATTAGCTCTCGTGCATGGTGCCCACATTACCTGGCGGCTTGCACTCGCACTGCGGTCACTAGCAAGGTCTGCGTCAAAGTACTGTCGGATCGTGACATCCTCCATTTTGTCGCCCACCCATGACGTCATTGTGTATGTGGTCGTGGACTTGATATAACAGATCAATCGGAAAAGGCCCATGCCCTGTCGTTCAGTCCATTTTGTTATGCAGCTGGACGCGTGGCAGACCGCGCGCAATACATCAAACCGAGACATCCTCGCACGATATAAAAAAAACTGCATGGGAACTTGCGCAGCAATAAGCCGAATAACTCCCGACGGCGTCGGTGCTTCAGGGTCATCTGGACCACCTTCCGCGGCTAAGCCGGGAACCTCGACTGGCCTGTCTGGGGAACCTGTGTCAGCTTGGATCCCGAGTGCCGCAGCTATGGCCTTCGCAGCTGGAGAGTGTTTCTCTCCCCTTGGACCTCCTTGTCCATCTTTCAAATCAATCGGCTCGGGGCCAACAAGGGTACCAGCAGCAGGGTATGTAGCAGGGTCGGCATCGGTTAGTTGTGCATAGCGTCGCACAATATTCAAAGAACTCCGTCATATCGTACTCAATGGCTCTGACCATTTTCGGCTGTCTAGGTTGATATGGCTCAGTCGGCTACGCCGCTGAGTCACCCGCCGATTCCTCGCCATCACTCTCCATCTGTTGGCCGGAGGTGGGCGTTCTCTTCACCTTCGGCGGTGGGGGATCGAGGGCGGTCGGTGACTCCCACTGCTATTCAACGCATTGCGTAGACAAATGATGTGCACGTCCCAAAGATCGCCCCACGTTAGTTGGTGGGTCGATCTCGATGCCCTTGGGGCAGCTTTCGGAGGCTTCTTGTAAGATTCGCCACCCTTTTTCGAGGTTCGCTTTTGGTCCCGACAATTTGAAATCGTCAACGTAACTAGTATGGAGCAAACGCAATTCCGTATGGAAGTAACAACTACGCCGAGGACTACATTTGATGAAACCTTTGGAAATCACGTGTCCCTCACAATGCTGTTTCCAGTATCCACCGGAGTCAGGATGTCCGTAAAGTGAGAGGATCAAGGGACATACGGGATTTCGCATGTCTCTCCAAGCAGGCGGCCACTCGTCCCTTGGCAGGAAAATCAATGTTGGAGTCCCGCCTAACTTGGACTGAATGTGAGCCTGTTTGGCATCCGCCTGTTGAATGTCATGCCCCTCGAACAGGCCATAAGCATCCGCCGCCTCGCCGGCCTGCGCGGTGGCCAGGCTGCTAGTCAGTTCCGGAAATAACGCTACGTCTCTGTTATGATCTCCAACGTCTGACCCATCAAAAACAACTCGGCCTTTTGTATTTGCGGTCTTTGTGCCCGACTGGGAGTTGTGAGTTCTTTCCTACCAAAATAACAAACAGGCGTCCGAAATGGGTCGTTTGCCCTTTTCGCTGACGAACAACATCGTTGTATTCCATCCCGCCTGACTCATCCCAAGTGCCAACGCTTCTTAACCGATCCCATTCGGTCTGCAATGCTTTGCTGGCACCTTAGTTCACCGCAGCTTCGGCCATGGACCAAGGTCGCGCCACGACCGCTTTACTCCGCGGTGGATTTTCCCCAGCTGGTAATTCGCACGCTTGTTCTACGATTCGAAGATCACCGGTGAACGTGCTGCATAGGTAGTCTGTATCGAGCCTTTCTTTTTTTGACGATGTGGTGGAAGAGATGACTCAGATGACTGCAATGGCATGCGGGGAACGCAGACGTCGCGAAGCGGCGGCCGCCGGACTCGAGATCAGCCTGTTTCCGTTAGATCTAAAAGGTTGCAGGAATGCCAGGTCCTCTCCAGCTGTGTCGGGAGGACCCCCATCTTGCAGAATTGTTGCCCCATGCCAAGTCTTTTTCCCACCATGCTTCTTCACCGTCGGAGGTGCCCTGGTCACTCCCAGAGCCGGCATCTGTGGAGCGTTCCTTTGCCGCTCCCGCAGGGCGCAGGAGCGTGCGCCAGTCTACTTCGGTTTCATCCGGCACAATAGTATATCCTTCCTTTCTTCTGCGGGCTTCAGCACCTGATGAACGTTGCCCTCTGAATGCTCAATGCCTGCGTTGCCGCGCTGCGCGTTCTGAAGATCGACTGCGTCGGTTCCAACGCCGCGAAGAAGGGCAATGCAGGGCCCCGGGTCAACGATCCCGAAGAAATCTCTTTTCTCGAGTCGGAATTGCTCCACCGCTTGCCTCCGTTCCGCATGGCTCATGTTGAACCATCGACTTGGGTGAATTCCCAGATTGGTGGAACTAGGTAGTTTATTAAGCCATTGTGCTCCATGAAGTGAGTCTGGGTCTGTGACCCAGACTCTTGTCACGGGTGCGTTGTCAGGATCGCAATGCAAGACGACTCTAATGCTGCAGGTTTTCCTTATGCCTTGTAAGGGCAGTTTTCCAGCTAGTTCATCCTTACCAAGGCCTGCAACAATGTCGATCTTCGTAATATTCCATAGTGTCTAAATTCTGCGTGGTTCGGGCAAGAAGTTGCCCTGGCCCAGGCACTCTCGACCGTGGCTGTGCCATCGAGAAATTAGACTGACAATCCAACCTGTATTCTGTATGAGCGAGACCGAGCTCTGGCTTCGCGCCATCATCGGGTCTCGAATCACGCCGGGGGCCCCTACCGTCAGGTACCACAGGCACGTCATCCACAATGACTCCCCCCAGACCATCGTCATCGGAGTCGCCATAATCTCCTGGTGGTGGTGCGGCCTCGCCTCGTGCCCGAGGCGGTGGTTCCGGTGCACCTAGATCCCCGTCACCACACGACTGTGTCGCCTGTGATCCTAATCTGGTTCCCTGACCGGCTGGTCCGTCGAGGGTACCGCTTGGGGGAAGAACTGCGTTTTTGACATGTGTCTGTGCAACTTCATATGCTTCACGCATCGGAAATCTAGGTTCTTGGTCCGGTGCAATACCGTCCAAAATATTGCTGTAGACCTGGTCTGGCTTCTCGAGGATCGGGCGTTTGCCAGCTGGCGCCCGCCCGGTGCCCATATTCAGATCGTCGGGTTGTCGCAATGGTGTCACGCAGCTCCCCGGTCCAACCACGCCCCCCGCCTTGCGCGCGTAGCCGAGGTAGATCCTCGCAACCATCGCCCCGCCTGTTTTGGCGATCCGAAACCTAGATTCAGGGAGAGGCATGAATCGAAGAAGGGGACCAAATGGAAGAAGTGGGGCTGCAAACTCATGTCCGCATCTGCGCCTCCATGACGATTCACCATCGTCAGGGATCCCTGCGTTATAGCGAAGACAGAAATATCGGGCAGCATGGTCCAACAAGGTGGGGGGAGGCCTGCCTGCATAAGCAGTGCTCGAGTCCCTATCTGAACAGTTCCATTGGATCGTTCAGCGACAACCATAAGCTTCTTGCTGCCAGGGATGGTAGGGTCATGTGCAGTCTTTAATTCGATGCACGCCCGTGCAAGTTCTCTCGCACCGTCGGTATAACAGTACTCTAACTTTTCTCCTGGGGCTTCGAGGTTAATCAAACACTACATACGTAAATCGCTGCATTGTCGTGCACACCCTGTACTGCCATGAAATATGTTGCAGGGTCGCGAAAAGTCACGCACGCGGTCTCGTCGCGGAGCCCCCGCGATAGGTCATCCATCGCAAGCCAATGATCCATGGTGGTCAGGTCTTCGAACGTTGTGGGTTTCGCGGATGGTCTCGGTACCCCCAGCCCTTTAGTTTGCGCTTTCCTTTGTTAGCGCCGCGTAGCCTTCGCCCAGTTACACACCGAGCAGAAAGGATTCTTAGGAGCATGAGTTAGCAAGTGTGAGAGGGGGGCAGCGCTTTTTTTGAGTCGCTCCGTCGAAGAGAATGGCACCT